AGACAATCTTAAAATTCATATGGAACCAAAAAAGAACTTGCATAGCTAAAGCTATCCTAGGTGAAAAGAACAAATCTGGAGGAATCACATTACCTGAGTTCAAACTATACGATAAGGCCATAGTCACCAAAACAGCATAGTACAATTACAAAAATAGGCACTTAGACCACTGGAACAGAGTAGAGAACCCAGAAATAAACCCAAATACTTACATAAAACTGATCTTCAACAAAGCAAACAAAAATATAAAGTGGGGAAGGGACACCCTATTCAGCAAATGGTGCTGGGATAATTGGCAAGCCACATGTAGAAGAGTGAACTGGATCCTCATCTCTCATCTTACACAAAAATCAACTCAAAATGGATCCAGGACTTAAATTTAAGAACTGAAACCATAAAAAATTCTAGAAGATAACATCAGAAAAAACCCTTCCAGACATTAGCTTAGGTAAAGGCTTCATGACCAAGAACCCAAAAGCAAGTGCAACAAAAACAAAGATAAATAGATCGGACTTAATTGAACTAAAAAGCTTCTGCACAGTCAAATAAATAATCAGCAGAGTAAGCAGAAAACGCAGAGTGGGAGAAAATCTTCATAATCTATACTTCTGACAAAGGACTAATATCCAGAATCTATAATACAGGGACTCAAATCAGCAAGAAAAGAAACTAACAATCCTATCAAAAAGTGGGCTAAGGACACGAATAGACGTTTCTCAAGAGGATATACGAGTGGCCAAAAAGCATATGGAAAAATGCCCAACATCACTAATGATCAGGGAAATGCAAATTGAAACCACAATGTGATACCACCTCACTCCTGCAAGAATGGCCATAGTAAAAAAATAAAAAAAAATAGATGTTGGTGTGGATGTGGTAAAAAGGAACACTTTTACGCTGTTGGTGGGAACGTAAACTAGTACAACCACTCTGGAAAACAGTGTGGAGATTCCTTAAAGAACTAAAAGAAGATCTACCGTTTGATCCAGCAATCCTGTTACTAGGTATCCACCCAGATGAAAAGAAGTCATTATACGAAAAAGATATTTGCACATAAATGTTTATAGCAGCACCATTTGAAATTTCAAAAATATAGAAGCAGCCCAAATGCTCATCAATCAATGAGTAGATAAAAAAGTTTTATATATATATAGATATATCTAGATATATCTATATATATATCATGGAATATTACTCAACCTTAAAAAGGAACAAAATAATGGCATTTACAGCAACCTGGACAGAATTGGAGACTATTATTCTAAGTGGAGTAACTCAGGAATGAAAAACCAAATATCATATGTTCTCACTCATATGTGGGAGCTAAGCTATGAGGATGAAAAGGCTTAAGAATGATATATTGGACTTTGGGGACTTGGGGGAAAGGGTGGGGGTGGTAAGGGATAAAAGACTACACATTGGGTACAGTGTACACTGCTCCGGTGATGGGTGCACCAAAATCTCAGAAATCACCACTAAATAGCTTATTCATGTAACCAAAATAGATTTCTGTTCCCCAAAAACCTATTAAAAAAATTAAAAATTAAAAAAAGATGCCCAAAGAAAAGCCACAAATAGGGAAACATATTTGCAATGTAATTGCCACTGATCAAAGATTAATATTCAGAATATGAAGAACACCTACAATTTAATAAATAAAAAATCAACACATCAATAGAAAAAATAAGTAACAATTATGAATATACATTTCACAGAGAGGAAACATAAAAGGCCAACAAGCAGATGAAAAATACTTAAACTACCTTAGTGATCAGGGAAAAGCAAATCAAGACCATGGAGAGATACAATCCTTTTTCTTTTACAACCTTTTGATTGGCATTGATTAAGAAAACTGACAAAACTAAGTTCTGGTGAAGCCATAGATAAAAAGAAACTCGTATACTGCAGGTATAGGAGTTTTTGAAAAGTTTTCCATTAGCTTAAAATCTTGAGCATTTATATAATCTAAAACCTAAAAACTCCATTTCTAGGTAAATGCTTTAGAGAAACAAGTTTCATATAGCATGAAATATGAACAACCCTTGTTAGTATGTTCATAGACAGGGAAATGGATAAATTATGAAATTTTTTTACACAGTAGAAACCTGAATGCCTTTCAACTACATACAGGCAATGGATAAAATCAGTGACGTACAAATAGATCCCCTGTATGTAGTTGAAAGGCATTCAGATTTCTAGTGTGTAAATGCAGAACAATTGTTTTCCGGAGAAAAGAAAGCCCTGATTTGTAGAGATTGATGATTTCCATGGTGTGAATACTCCCACTGTGACTGATTTCCAGCAGCCAAACTGAAATGGTAGTTGGGTCTCCCGGTCTGGTATAAGCAAGTTGCAGCTCACCATTAAATGAGTCTTAAAAGCCTAATGCTTCTTGAACAAGAGCAAGTCACAGAATGCCATTTTAATAAAGCTCCAAAAAGCAAATCTAGCCAATACATTCTTTAGGAAAACATAAGTGACAAAACTATATTTGAAGAAGGGAATGACAAACACAAAATATTGGTTATTCTCAAGGGTAAGGGGAGACTGGGTGATGGGGTAAGGAAGGAGCCCACACATATATGAAGGTTATTGAAAATGCCCTAATTATTAAGTGGTGGGTTTGGGGTGTTTATTTTGTCATTGTAATTAGTAATTTAAATATATCACATATACTAATAGCTGTGATATATTTTGCATGTTATATTTATATAAATGTTTTACAGATGTTGTGTTTTTATATGTCAAATATTAGGTAATAAATATTTTTTAAAAAACTGCTAAGGGAACATAAACCAATGTTAATGTAGCGTAATATAAAGAAATGGCCATATTTAATACATACTCAAATCTGTGGTGATGACATGGCTTGTTCTTATGATAGACATTTAACTCTGATAATGAACATTAAGTAATGTGTCACTAGCAACATGGAGGCCCCAGGCTGACCATTTGTCCACACTCGCATAGCTTCTGGAGTCAGTCTGGTTTCTGCTCGTAGATATTCTTGCGTGTGTATCTTCACTTACACCATCCTTCCCTGACTAGCAATAAGGCCTTTTCCCTCCCTTCTCTGCCTATTTAGATCATCTGCTGTAAGATCATGTAAAGTCTCTCTGATATTTTCTTTCTGTCATTCCCAAATTGTTTTGAATTGCTTCTTCTGTGTTTGTTTCTCCTACTTCCATTGGATTATATGTTTCTTGAAGTTTTCTTACGTTACTTATCATGCCCAATACAAAACCAGGCACAAGACAGACACTATTTAATTAGTTGCCAATAATTTTTAAAATTTTATCAAAATAACTCCAACTTACCAGTCTTTACCTATATATATCCTTCAGCAATCTCATTTACATAATTACTGAGTATTATAAGGACTCAAATTTCCGGAGAAATTAAATAATGTATCAAGAGTGTGTTGCAGATTATAGTTTAAGCTCCTTTCTTGAAATGCCTAATCCTGCATTCTTCACATTCAATTATTAGTATGCCTAATCTGCAAATTCCAGAATATGAGTTTCTGATTTAGTATATTCTTTTCTACTTAAGTTAGTCAAATGACTAGATCCAATAATTGAATAGCATTGGCATTATCTGAAAGTGCTATAAAGTTGACAGTTTGTGTCAACTGTGCATCCACATTGAACTTGGCTCGGCAAGCATAAATATTTCTATAAATAGGTATAACTGTGCATAAAAAAAGTCTGTTGTGACACAAGCAGCAAAAGTAAAAATAATGGCTGAAAAAAGTTGGATGTAGCTAAGCACTGCAATAAACTACAGATTTTTAGGTTCCCATCAACATGTCCGATAAACCACACAGGCTGAATTTCTAGTCCTACTGCTGCCACGGATTATTAGATTTCTGGTAAAATTACCTTATCTTTCCATGCTTCAGTTTCTTCTTCTCTAAAATGAGGTAAACTGTAAATTTACCTCATTTTAAATGAGGATTATTAGATTTCTGGTAAAATTACCTTATCTTTCCATGCTTCAGTTTCTTCTTCTCTAAAATGAGGTAAACTGTAAATAAGATAAACTGTAATATTTGACAAATTTAGGGACTCATTTCCCACTCACCCATAGGTGATTTTAAATAGCTAAAAAAAATTACTTACATTTGAAAATCATGCATAAAAGAAATTGCTCTGGAATAGACAGAGCAAAATAGCTTGCACATATGTACTCACCTGTTACTGTTAATAAGCGATGCACTTAGAAGACATAAACAATGGCATTTACTGCTCCAAGCATTAAACACTAAGGTTTTACTTTCATGATATCTCTGGTCCCTACTAGCTTGTTAGATTGGTATCCTATTATTAGATTTGGGCTATTTGGCAGTATCCATTTGACTTCATAACTTTCAAAAACAGTAGTTAGGTAAACTCTCAAATGTTCTGGCAGTACTTATAGCTGTCCCTTCATACTAAGCTCAATGGAGATTACTGTATTATAGATCTTTCTGGATATGGTACCAATAACCAGGGAGAATTCAACAGAAACAAAACCAAACAAAATGTAAATCATACAAAGTTACTAATACTTTCTCTTTATAAATGTTCATCTTTGTTAAAAAGTTAATACTGCCCTGTAAATGTGTTCAAGTAAATTTCATGAAAGAAAGTGCATAGAAAATATTCAACTTCTTTTGAACGCACCTAATGCAGTGCTTGGCATATAGTATTTGCTGAATAAATGAATACACAAATATACAAATACAGTAAATGTATGAATGAAAGAATGAATACATAAATAATCAAGCAGAATGACATCTCTTAAAAACCATTAACTACTCGCGGAGAAGAGCTTGAGAACTCATTTATAGTATTTCTAACTTTAAAAAAATTAGCAAATCCATGAGAAGCTGGATTTTATTGTCCTATATATGGAAATAATTTTCTTAGTAATGTAGAATAGAACATTTTAATGTTATTTATTTATTAAGTCAAGAGATTACTCAAATAAGAACTTCAATACATAAACAAAACAGGAAACATACTGAGTGAATACTAAAATTATAGTAGCATTTGCTCACAGTTCTGCAGAATATAATTCAGTTTTGGAGGACTTAAATTATGCTTAATTTACATCCTAATTTAACAAATTTATTGTCACCTTTACAATTGGGTTTTGGGAGCTAGAGCTTCAAGTATTCTTTACAAGTGGATTAATAGTTTTGCATTTGGTATAATTTTCATTGTCTCTCCTGATTTTATCCACTAAAACTTGCTTATTTTTAATATCTATGTTCTGTTAGGAAAGGTAGATTTAAAATCTTTAAATTCACCTACAACTTGAGAATGATGTGTTTCTCCTGAAGTCAGTTTTATGGTAGAAGGTATTCTGTGTTCTAAAACAAAATCCGCATTTACATCTACATAAACTATGTGCCCCAGAATTCAGAAACTTGTCTTCTTGAATGTAAAATTCTGAGTTATCAGAGATAGAGAGAGCTCCATGATTCGAAAGCTATGATTATGGATCTGTGCTGAGATTTCCATTGTCTCCCTAGTGTTTGGTGGTCATTAAGGGTTTGAAAGATTTCATGCTCTAATTCTCTTTTCAGAGTATACGCTTTACGAAACAGGAAAATCTGTCTCCATATATACATAAAGCTAAAGGAAAATCTTTAGGGCTTTATGTGATTCCCTCAAGTATTAATAAATATAAGAAATTAATTTTTAAATCCAGTGGTTTAAAATACCTTTCTCGTAACTGATTTTTTTTTATTTGAAAAGGAGTTCAAACTCAACTAAGGGAAGTCGACAGTCTTCTGGATAGATTATTTCTAGTTGTTCCATTTACCTATCCCTATCACAGAATTCTTTATAACCCATAGAAATCCTTGTTGTTCTGATGGTTGTTATAATGTCAGAAGACACATGAAAAAAGTTGCATCATTTTTTTCCACATATTTGAAAGCCACTACTCACTCACCCATCAATGTATTCAATTCAGGCTAAGTAATTGCAACTTCTTGCTTCATGCGTTGAAATGGAAAACCAATCACCATTTAATAATATCTACCGTTCTCTGAACTTTTTTCAGAATGTTCCATTCCATCTGAAAGAGAGAGCACAAAATAGTACTCAAATTGTGTAACCCCCAAGAGGAGACAACTGATAGATAAAACAAATAATTATAAAATTATAAAAAAGAAAAAGGACATTAAATATAATTATGTTCCAACAATTAGCTGGATAATATGCCAAAATATCTTGCTTTATTTGTATAACTAAGATAACTGTGGTTCTTGCACATTCCTGACATTATTGTGCCCTTCTAAATTGAAAATACTTATCATTTTTCATAAGTTGTTTTTAAGTTAAATATTATTTCATGTTCTATTTTAACTCACAAACAATATGATTTTTTCAACAACCAATTCTGCCATTTTATTATCACAACAGTTTTATATATCAGAGAATTAATAAGCAATATGTGACTATAATTTATTCATTTTTAAAAAATAAAAATAGATTCCTTACCTGGGACTGAAGAAGCACTAATGGAGAAGGGTGACGAATTTGAGAAAGCATCTAAACTAACAGGACCTGTAAGTATATTCATTGACTTATTTTTTTTTAATTGCTAAAACTAGTTTAAATTACTAATAGGAAAATCTAAATAAAATATAATAAAGCCAACTTTCTTACTGGTTAGTTAAGCTGTTCTAAGTTGTTTCAACAGTTGGGGAAGAAGACTTGAATTAGATGAGAAAACTGAAGTTCTGATGTTATTAGCTGCTTGCTTGTTGTGCATGTGAGCATGCTAAAAGGTTATGAGCTGCCATGTTAAACTTTAGTAAGTTTAACTATACTTACCTTGGTAGTAAAACAAATACTTTGCATATCCTGAAAGTTTACATATGACTTATGCTATTTTTAGTTGTGAAGTCCTTGTAATATGTTTGTTAAACCATATATCTTCAATACAGTATTTTGGGAGAAACTATTAGGTTTAAGATTTTTAATACGATTTAAGGTTAAAAGAATCAATAGAAAAAACCTGAAATTCTGTACAAATTCTAACTAAAAATAATTTTTTTATAAATGCTAAAGTTCATAAAATATTTTGAGTTTCTATAAAAATAACTAATGCCATCATGTGTTATCGTAAACATAATATTTGGATTGGGTTTGTATGTGTCTATATTCTCTGTATTAATTTGCTAGAGCTGCCATAACAAAGTAGCAAAGACTGGGTAGCTTAAATAACAAAAAGTTATTTTCTCAAAATTCTGGAGTCAAAAATAAAGGATCACAGTATTGGCAGGGCTGGTTGCTTCTAAGGTCTCCCTTTGTACCTTGTAGATGAATGTTTTCTCCCTGCGTCTTCACAGCTTTTTCCCTTTGTACGTGTCTGTGTCCTAATCACTTAACACCAGTGATATATCACAAATATCACCAGTGATATTGAATGAGGGCCTCCCTAATAACCTCCTTTAACTTAATTACCTCTCTAAAGACCTTATTTCCAAATACATTCTGAGGTACTTGGGCAAGGAATTTGACATATGAAGTTTTAGGAGAACACAGTTCAACCCATAACTCTCTGTGACGAGATTACATGATTTTAAACATTATTCACATCATAGGATTTGGTAAAAGGCGCCAAGTTTTCCAATGAACTTGATAATAAAATAAATTTTAAAAATTATTGATGAAATTAATGTATCTTTGCTCAGATGTTATTTTATTGACCCTATTTAAAATTTTGCATTTCCCTTCTTTATTTTTTATACAGTACTTATGATTTCTACTGTGTGATGTAATTTACTTATTTGTTTTACTGTTCGTTTCTTTCAACTGTAATATAAGGTCTACCATGGCAAGAATTTTTGTACATTTTTTTCACTTCCACATCCCTAGAAGAGTACCTACACACAGGAGGCCCATAATATCACACACACACACACGCACACACACACACACACGTATGTTGAATGCATAGTTCAGCAATAATTCCTCACCATAAGATGAAAACTATTATATTTTCCTTTACTATAAAATGATAAAATCTTAGAAATAGAAAAAACCATGGTAACTGTCCAGTTCAACATTTCCCATCTCTTACCTTGGCATTTTCAACTGTGGTGTTTTCACTCCTGTATTCAATGCAGTGATATCTAACCTATAGAGGAAACAGAAACTCAGAGAAGCTAAGGAACTAAAGTTAAAAGTTAAAACTAAAGTTAAAAGTTAAAAGTCCTAAAGTTAAAAGAACAGTGATATCAGGAGTTGGGACTAGTCAATTTTCCTTCTACTGTACATCCTTAATATTTTTAGTGCTTTTCTGTTTCTTTTAGAAACAGTTTATTCCTGTTTGTTAGAGATTGTCTTCCATTCCTCACAAACATTGGTCCTAGTTCTACTCGGGGAGTGATAGCTTAAACCTAATCCTTTTTACAATTAACTGATGTTCAGATATTAGAAGCTACCAGTGTGTCCCAAATGAGACTTACATTTTTAGGTCAAAACACAGTCCATTCTTTTAACCAATGCTTTTACATTGTGTAGTTTCAAAAAATATCAGTACCTTGATGCTTTTTCTGAACATATCCTTGTTTGCCAAGTCCCCTGTAACATGTGAGTTATGCTACAACCAAATTTAGGGTTCCAAATAATGTTCTCACATAGAGTACAATGAAGTATGTGGTTGGAGCAAATATTATTTGGGGTTTATAGCCTACTGTTGCATTAATTTTATTTTTTAAGAAATGTTCTGCCATTTATAAACTTTAGTATTTCTCCATAACCTCATGATGTTATGTTGTCCTTTAGGTTGTGATAATCTGTCATTCATCACTTTTTGCAAAGGTTATCAGCTGTGAATTCCACAAAGTTCATATTTCTCCCTCAGGTCTAAACATATACCATTAGATTCTTCTTCTAATCATTTACTCCATCAAGATATATCCTGTCTATAGTATTTGGCTTCTTTAATAATACACAAAACTGCAAAGAAAAAAGAAATTAGATTTATTTGACCAAACTTTTCATGAGTGATTTCAAATGGGCTCTTCGAGATCTTTGCTTTTTTCCACTGTACTCACACAGTGCTTCCCCAGTGCAAAAGTTTGTTGTAGGTCAACTTTGTTTTTATTTACATTCATTAGATTTTTTTAAATTTATTTTTTATTATTATTATACTTTAAGTTCTAGGGTACATGTGCATAACGTGCAGGTTTGTTACATATGTATACTTGTGCCATGTTGGTGTGCTGCACCCATCAACTCGTCAGCACCCATCAACTCATCATTTACATCAGGTATAACTCCTAATGCAATCCCTCCCCCCTCCCCCCTCCCCATGATAGGCCCTGGTGTGTGATGACCCCCTTCCCAAGTCCAAGTGATCTCATTGTTCAGTTCCCACCTATGAGTGAGAACATGTGGTGTTTGGTTTTCTGTTCTTGTGATAGTTTGCTAAGAATGATGGTTTCCAGCTGTATCCATGTCCCTACAAAGGACACAAACTCATCCTTTTTTATGGCTGCATAGTATTCCATGGTGTATATGTGCCACATTTTCTTAATCCAGTCTGTCACTGATGGACATTTGGGTTGATTCCAAGTCTTTGCTATTGTGAATAGTGCTGCAATAAACATACGTGTGCATGTGTCTTTATAGCAGCATGATTTATAATCCTTTGGGTAATACCCAGTAATGGGATGGCTGGGTCATATGGTACTTCTAGTTCTAGATCCTTGAGGAATCGCCATACTGTTTTCCATAATGGTTGAACTAGTTTACAATCCCACCAACAGTGTAAAAGTGTTCCTATTTCTCCACATCCTCTCCAGCACCTGTTGTTTCCTGACTTTTTAATGATCGCCATTCTAACTGGTGTGAGATGGTATCTCATTGTGGTTTTGATTTGCATTTCTCTGATGGCCAGTGATGATGAGCATTTTTTCATGTGTCTGTTGGCTGTATGAATGTCTTCTTTTGAGAAATGTCTGTTCATATCCTTTGCCCACTTTTTGATGGGGTTGTTTGTTTTTTTCTTGTAAATTTGTTTGAGTTCTTTGTAGGTTCTGGATATTAGCCCTTTGTCAGATGAATAGATTGCAAAAATTTTCTCCCATTCTGTAGGTTGCCTGTTCACTCTGATGGTAGTTTCTTTTGCTGTGCAGAAGCTCTTTAGTTTAATTAGATCCCATTTGTCAATTTTGGCTTTTGCTGCCGTTGCTTTTGGTGTTTTAGGCATGAAGTCTTTGCCCATTATCTGATTCCACTTAATATCATATTACACATTTAAATCTTTTTGGAATTAAGTGGAATAAAAACAATAAACGAGTAAATGAATGAATGTCAGGACCCTGAAGCAGACAATTTCTAGGTGGCAGCTGCTTTTATTATGAGGAAAGCATGAGTTAAAAATCAAAGTTAATTTTGTTAAAATGATGATATTTTAGATGTAGATTTCCTAAAAATACTTCTGTAGTATTTCGTGGGAGAGCATTTTTAATAAGTCAAGAAGAAAATTGTGACTTTATCTAAATATTAATGAAGAATTGGAACAAAGCAACTTTTTTTCTTTATTACCGTAAGGAACATAAAATACTTCAAAGCAAATTTTGAGTCATATCCTGTACAAATATAAATATGCCACAAATGTTGAAAACCATTTAAGGTAGTTTCAACACAGGCTGTCTCTATTTGCTAACTTTCCATGTTGAGTATTGTATATTAATAAGTGGGGAACAGACTCTTGGAAACTGTTTTTTCCTAGTGGCTTACTCTGTGCTTGGAATATTTCTTGAATATTTTGTGAATATTTAAGTGATGTAGAGGCAACATTTATATTTGAATTTTTATCCTCCTCCAAATAAGCAAGTTGTTCTTCTGGAATTTCCCTCTTCCTCTCTGCACTCTCTTTTTCTGGACTACCTCTTGGTATATATACAGCCTATGCAGGTTAAAACTGGATTTGTCAGGTAAAGCCGTTAAGTAAACCAACAAAAAGACAACCGTGAAAAGACAATACCAAACAGCAGGTATTGATTATGACCTCTTAGCTTCATAAATATAATGCATTATTTTAGATCAATGATTGATAAACACTTAATATCAATGATTTTTGATTGCATAATTTCTTATGCAATTTTTTTTTTGCTTCAAATGCTTGGTTTTTTTTTGTTGTTTTTTGTTTTTGGTTTTTTTTGAGACAGGGTCTAGCTCTGTTACCCAGGCTGAATTCAGTGGTATTACCACAGCTCACTGCAGCATTGACCTCCTGGGCTCTGACTTTCCTCCCACCTCAGCACCTCAACCTCCTGGGTAGCTGGGACTACAGGTGTGCACCACCACACTCGACAAAATTTTATATTTTGTAGAGACAGAATCTAGCTATGTTGCCCAGGCTGGTCTTGAACTCCTGGACTCAGGCAATCCTCCTTCCTTGGCCACCCAAAGTGCCAGGATTGCAGGAATGAGCTTCCTTTATGTTAAAAAATCTATTTTGCTGTAAAATTATTAAATACACATATGGGTGTAAAGGGAAGATGAAGATAATTAAGAAAGATCATTGATAGTAAATATTTTACTGACTTTTTTTCTTTTTTCCTTGTAAATTTTTAAAGTTATTGCATTCATCAGCCAGTAATGACTAGCTCATTATAATCTGACTCTCATAAGACTTTATGTAACTGGTCATCATTTCTTAAAGTAGAAAAGAAAATGTAAAAGACTTCTGTAAAAAAGTTTTCCTAAAATGCCCAGGGTTTACTAAAAGTTATGCTTTTGGTATATTCTCCTCCTGGAGAGTTTTATCTATTTGGGAAAATATATAAAATTGACTAGGATAATATCACATATCAATATGTGATGATATCACATATTTGTACAGCACTTTTTAATTATTAAGTGCTTCACATATTTAACACCAATAGTGTCTAAATTTTGTCATTTTCATGGCTTATCACTTTATCCTGACCACCTCGCTGTGAAGTAGTGCTTCCTTAGCTTCAGATGAGCATACTGAGCTTCCAAAAGATCTTGTGATTTGTCCCAGGTCACATAGAGAGGGCAGGACAAAAACTCATGGTTCCCAGTGCCCAAACTGTCTTTCATAGAACTTGTTGGGATCCATACAATTGGTACTTATTTGCAAATTTGTATTTAGGCACTTAGTCGCTGTTAACACCTGCAATGAAAAGGGGATAAGTATTAAGCCATTATCAGTAGCCAATATCTTTTTTTATTTTTTGTTTTATTTTATTTTATTTTAAGATGGAGTCTTGCTCTGTCACCCAAGCTGGAGTGCAGTGGTGCGATCTTAGCTCATTGCAACCTCTGCTTCCTGGGTTCAAGTAATTCTCGTGCCTCTGGCTCCCTAGTAACTGGGATTACAGGCATGTACCACCACGCCCAGCTAATTTTTGTATTTTTAGTAGAGAGTGGGTTTCACCATGTTGGTCAGACTTGCCTTGAACTCCTGACCTCAAGAGATCCATCCGCCTCAGCCTCCCAAAGTGCTGAGATTACAGGTGTAAGCCACCATGCCTGGCCATCAATATCAAAGGTAGAATTATTCACTGGATGAAGTAGGTAGTGAAAAGCAACAGTTTGAGGGACTGGATCAGAACAGGTAGTTTTTTATGAGAGAAAGGGATCGGTACATTTCAGCATAAGAGATTAGCCTTGCTAAGGTTTTTCGGAATTGGAGGACTCTGAGAAACCAGAGCAGTATGAAAAGAAATCCTGGGATGGGGAAACTACTGAGAAAGAAAGCAAAAGGGAAAAAAGTATATGTTTAAGAAAAAAATATCTGTGGCAAGCTTGATCCAAAAGTTAGAGACTCTGGTAATTCTGGAGTTACCTTGATAAAGTGTCTGTTGAGCTAGATTGGAGGTAAATTTGATTATTTTTAGTCTTGCCAGATGTTGTGTGTATGAGTCCATTTTCATGCTGCTGATTAAAAACATACCCAAGGCTGGGAAGAAAAAGACGTTTAATTGGACTTACAGTTCCACATGGGTGGGGAGAGCTCAGAATCATGGTGAGAGGTGAAAGATCCTTCTTACATGGCAGCAGAGAGAGAAAATGAGGAAGAAGCAAAGCGGAAACCCCTGATAAACCCATCAGATCTCATGAGACTTGTTCACTATCACGAGAATAGCACAGTAAAGATTGGCCCCCATGATTCAATAACCTCCCCCTGGGGCCCTCCTACAACACATGGGAATTCTAGGAAATGCAATTCAAGTTGAGATTTGGGTGTGGACACAGTCAAACCATATCATTCCACCCCTGGCCCCTCCAATCTCATGTCCTCACATTTCACAACCAATCATCACACCTTCTCAGCAGTCCCCCAAAGTCTTAACTAATTTCAGCAATAATCCAATGGTCCACAGTCCAAAGTCTCATCTGAGACAAAGCAAGTCCCTTCTGCCAATGAGTCTGTAAAATCAAAAGCAAGTTAGTTACTTCCTAGATACAATAGGGGTACAGATATTGGGTAAACATAGTTGTTCCAAATGGGAGAAATTGGCCAAAACAAAGGGGTTACAGGGCCTATGCAAGTCTGAAATCCAGTGGGGCAGTCAAATTTTAAAGTTCCAAAATGATCTCCTTTGACTCCAGGTCTCACATCCAAGTCACATTGATGCGAGAGGTGGGTTCCCATGGTCTTGGGCCTGCTCCACCCCTGTGGCTTTGCAGGGTACACCCTCTCTCCTGGCTGCTTTCATGGGCTGGTGTTGAGTGGTTGTGGCTTTTCCAGGAGCACAGTGCAAGCTGTCAGTGGATCTACCATTCTGGGGTCTAGAGGACCATGGCCGTCTTCTCACAGCTCCACTATGTGGTGCCCCAGTAGGGACTCTGTGTGGGGTTTCTGATCCCACATTTCCCTTCTGCACTGCCCTAGCAGAGGTTCTCCATGCAGGCCCAGCTCCTGCAACAAACTTTTGCCTGGGCATCCAGGCATTTCCATTTATCTTCTGGAATCTAGGCAGATGTTCCCAAACCTCAATTCTTGACTTCTGTGCACCCACATGCTCAACACCATGAGCAATCTGCCAAGGCCTGGGGCTTCCACCCTCTGAAGCCACAGCCTGAGCTGTATGTCAGCCCC